ATCTAAATTCTCAAAACTTTCCGCCATTTTAAAACACAGAGGGAAAAACTTTGTAATGATGACGTCAATCGTGCGTCTGTCCTCTAATAAATCATAGGCAAGAACCAATCAAAATGCAAGAATAACTTGGGTTATTATATAATGTATGTTGGAACTGTAGTGGATGTCTTGTGGACAGAGGAAGAATTGGAAGGGGCAAACTGGAAACCAGGATGGTATCGCGGAGAGGTCCAGCAATACCACAAAGATGACGATTTGTTGTACATTTTATATTTTAAAGATCGTGCTGTTTTTAGCTTGAACGCAACTGGTGCTTTTTCAGATGGCATTATTCGTGCAGTCAGTTGATTGAGATCATTAATTTTGTTTTTACTCGTATAAGTTATTCTCGTAAAGCACAATTTCCCGCAAATTTTGAACCTTCAATAACTAGATTATCGCAATAGTTTCATCGTTATCCGTATGGTTAAGAGTTTGGAAAATGTTAGCAAAGTCGATACAATGCCATTTGTCTTGACGTATTTGTAACCGTGAATGGCGATGAGAGACCGCAAAGATTTCATTTGGTTGTTTAGTTACCGGATTGAACTTGAAAAGTATGTTTTGCACATGAAATGTGTGACAAGTTAAAAAATTCTAAGGTATAAAATTTACTATCATTTACAAACTACAGAGACAAAGCGTATAGCTTTATTGAAGTATTCCTGGTGAAAGACAAATTTAAACGACATTTGACAAACAGGTGTTTAAAAAAACATGTTGCATGACGGCTTATGATTCCTGCTGATAAGCGAAGTCAGTTCAAGGCTCCACACATGAAAAAGAATAATATTTATAAACAGTGCTGTTCACAAATTATACTAAATAAAAATTCCACCTGCAACATGCAAAAATATCATGGAGATTAGCATTGAGGTATTTTTGCGAGTTTCGCTTTGACAGCAAAAATAAGAATGATGTAATAATATAGTTACTTGGGTGTGCAAAGTAGTTCAATATCTTGCGTTGACTATGTATAAATTACAAACTGCGACTAGCTTACAAAACGTGAACGATACTGTCAACTTTCAGTACTTTCTTCGATATTTTTTAAATGAAAACTTCTTTCAGTTCAACAGAGGAAAGGTCAGCTGCCAGGACATTAGAGTGTTAATAAGCTCTGTTGTTAGTTTGAACATTTCAAAATAGAGAGAGCAAGAGGTGCGTCTGTTCATACATCTAGAATTTTCCACGGTCATTTTTAGGAAAATTAAATCTCACAGCCTAATCCAGCAATTTTGTTCTTTTACCTAGTGCATATTTCCATAAATAATGTACCATAAAATAGCAAGCGTGGTGTGGCCAAATCAAGGTTTACAATTGTTTGGCAGCTTACCGTGAAAAATATGCGGCTTTACGTTTTCATCTGAAGTGTAACTATAAACAGCTGCGGCTAAATTTTATTTCAGCTCTATGTAGATCAAAATAAATTAATGAAGTCTTTATGTTTGTGGATTTGGAATTTCCAAGAAGTAGGGGGCACCAAGTGGAAAAATCATGGAAATTTCAGGGGGTGGGGGGAGTACTGTAAAGCCCCCTGGAACGGAAAATCCTGGAGGGTGGGGGTTAAAACTGGAAAAAACCCTCCTTGGGGGGTATGGAACCACACATTATAAAATAACTGAGCACACACTCTCANGGGGGGGGCATGGATATTTTCTGGAGCCACACAATTTAAGAAAGGAAAGTCTAGATATTCCAGTTAACCTTCTACAAGGGATAATTAAAGATCTCTCTGTTAAACTGTTTTCAAAATAGTGTTATCTTGTGAGAATCGATACAAGCTTATTGCATGCAAATGATAAAGAAAATCTAATGACTAGATTTTCTGCAAATAAACAAAACTGATTTTAAAGGCCTGTTTATATTTATTCATGTTGCCACGGCAATGATGCATATGTCAGCTTAACTATCAACAATCCAAAGTTTGTGTTGTTAACTTGCGTGTTGCCAATTTAGGTGACCAAAGGATGTAGGGTTTTGGAGAAAAAGGTGAATGAAACTGAGGTATCAAAAACTGTGTTCAGTCACCTTAAAAGTTAACTGAAGTATATATCTTTCTTTAATTAAAATGTTTTTCACTGCTTTTGTTTTGTGTAGTTTGAGATCATTCATACTGAAAAGAGAAGGAAAAAAAAAACAATATAAACAGAAAACCACACCATAAAAAAATTACAGACTGGTCTTTGTTTGGAAAAATGGGTGAAGTGTATTGTCATGTACATGGATTCTCTTTCTTGCTTTGGTCCAAGTTTCTGTATTTTGGTCTGCATCATTGAGTAGGTGTGAGATTGAAGTTTTAAACCAGCAGGCATTGTACTCATGCTTAAGGCATAAGACTTGGTTGTTGTTCCAGGTAGTTAGGAAGTCTGAATGTGGCAGTATTCCTGCCATCCACCACAAGCAAAAACCATACAAGTTATTGAGTGTTCTAAGTTCAGAGGTCTCTAAAGGAGAACAAAAATTGATAATAATTATAGGTAAGTTCTTGAAGGAATCCTCCTCTGCAGCCAAAATTGATAAAAGGAACACAAACTTGTAGTAACTAAAAACAAAATGACAAGCAAAGCATAATAAAAATGAAGAGTATCTGTTAAGAATATGGGCCCTGTGTTTTTTTATTTCCTGTAGGGTAGCTATGGTCGTCTTGGCCTTGGAGATTCTGCAAATCAGGCACAGCCAAAGAGAGTAGCAATCCCCACAGACTCTGGAGTAAAGATGGTGTCTTCATCCAAAGGGTCAGATGGACACACATTGGCTGTAACAGTTGATGGTCAGTTGTTTAGCTGGGGGGATGGTGAGTGTTTTTTTCCTCTTTGATTAGTCTTACTGCCACAAAATAATAACTAAGACATGTACCTGGAATACTTTTTCAGCATGTCATTAAGGCTGGTGCCTACATGTACTTTTATTAGTGGGCACAATCATGTTTGCACATTGCACAAGGTATGGTTTACATGTTATGTGCAGGCTAGGGTTGAAATTGACTAAAATGATTTAGCAAAAGTTTCCTGCTACTTCCCTTAAATTGGGCAACACCTGAGCTTATAGATATTGTTTGTTCAAAGCTCTATAGAAAAGGATAGCATCAAAACCATCTGTGATGTGTCAAATTTCGGTGTGTATGGTTTTGCAAATCCGGTCACATATAATAATTATATTTTGCAAAACTTGTTTTGGGTACTTCCTAGCACAGAGCTTATATAATCTGTCATGATTGCTTTTGCACATGCTCAGGGGTATACATGTACATTGCAGCAATATGAATGACAGCAATATTACATGTCAGTCAAACCTAGACTTATTGCTTTGGTAGTTTTCTCTGTGCATGGACAGCTGTACATTAGAAATATGTTGTCAGAATTATCACCTTTTGTTACCTTCCCAGGGGACTATGGCAAGCTTGGCCATGGAAACAGTCAGACACACAAGGCTCCAAAACGTATTGAAGGCAACTTATCTCACAAGGTAATCATTATTGTTCAAGACAGTGTAGACTTACCACAAGTTGACCTATTCTTAATCCTGGACTTATTTATCTCCCTCGGGCGAAGCAAGAGGGTAATCTTCGAGCAACGAAGTCGCGAGAGAGAGCATGAGTGATGTAAGTCGCGAGAGGTCCACTTGTTTCACTTGCAGGGATGTGAATCGGGGCGTAAATTTTGGCACGAAAAACATGATTGACATTTCTCACTTTCCATGTGCTCCATGCGAGATCATCACGAAAGCAGAAAATGATTTCCATCAGAACGTTTACGAGCGTACGAGTACTGTTCCCTAACTCAAATAAATTTATTTGTGTACAGTGCAGTATGTGGTCAGCAATATTGACAAACGGCAAAAGCTGTTTCATTGAGTAACGCCTCCTGAAAAGAAAACCGTGTTTAAACCAATCGAGAATTATTTTACTCTAGATTAACCAACTGTCAACCAGAGAGCTGCCTGACAAATGCTATAAACTTATGTAGATCTACACTCGTGGACAAAAGTCTGGGACACTTATGTAATGTAACAAATTATCTGTGTTTTAAAACTGAAGTTTGAAAAAAACGCTGCTACAGTACAGTCCAAAAATAATGCGTGTGCAAGAACTTCTTTTTGCGTCCGCAAGCTGGCAACTTCTTGCGGCTTCTTGCGGGTCGCTTGCACTTGGATCCTGCAAGACGCAAGAACTTCTTTGCGGTTAGAAGTTAAAACCGCAAGAACTTCTTTGTGGTTGGATTTTCGAAATGTAAGGACTTCTTTGCGGTAGGATTTTCAAACCGCAAGAACTTCTTTGCGCTAACATCTTAGCATGCGAAAATCCGTGTCAAGACAGTACCGTCTTGGCGACCGTTCTAAAAAACACAACTAACAAACACAACTAAAAAACAGAACTAGTTCCGGCACTTGCCGTAAGAAGTATTAAAATGACAAATCCTTAACTTTTGACGATTTAAACTGTAAAGTTCAGTTCAGACAACGAACTTTTCATGAGCCTAACTTAATTCGAATTTGGACCTATCCCCGGGAACGGCCAAAGAAAAAGTAATGAATGGATGCGCGTTTGTTGAAACTTCGAATTCGTTGATCAGTGTGAGCTGCTGTTTACTCATTCTACAAAGCTGTATTTCAATCCATCAAAACGTAAACAAATATCACAAAAGAAGAAGTAGATTCTCAGCCATACTGGCTATCAAACAAATTGTTGACCTTACTACGTGTACGGCTACCGTTACACAAGAGATCTTGGGAAGCTTCTTAATGATGTGACTAATATTATAAGTTCTAAAGTGTAAGCCATATAAAGTCTATACGCTGTTGAAGTTGTCACTTCTTACTTGCATTTAAACGACAGGTTAACAAAGACCCAAAGCGGCAACAAAAAATGGCACTCAACCGAAACATCTGTCATAGAAACAACCGACACTATTCTTAAAGCGATAGACCAGAAGATGTTGACTTCGGTAGTGTTCTTAGACATGAGTAAGGCATT